GTCCTGTGCCATCCCGCCGAACAGCAGATCCTGACAATTGAAGGACCACATAGGAGGGTTATAATTATCCTAGTCCCTGAACCTAAAAAAAACCTCCAAGACCTTCAGCATTCAAAGACTCGAGAAGCCTGAGCAACTTGTCGGGAAAATTGAGGATGAAGTGGAGCGTCTTGAGCGCTGCGGGATGACTATACACCTCGGTCATTAGGGTGAATTCTTATTAAAATTAAAATTAATTATTATACAACTCGATTCATGAAGCAACACCTGTTCGACCAGGCACCTGTTCCATGATATGCTGGTATAGGCCACATTCTCTGCCAAACCTTCCTCCTTCGGCCTCCCTTGGCTTCCATCCATGACTGTCACTGTCACTGCCCTCAATTGTCAATTGAGTGAAACTGAAATGAATGAAAAATGTACAAATGTCATGAAGCTTCGACACGTGCATTTGCACCTGCAAGCGAACCTCCCATTTGTTAGAAAAGTTACTTTCCCTGTCCAACCTCTCCAACAAGTCTGCCATCTGAGGTGATGGACGATTTCCATGGGCGGCAACCCCATAACCAACGATCACCACTCTCTTCGGCCAAACGTAGGTTTTGCCGCCCAGGAAAACTGACCTCGAAGTGTTGGAGCAGAAAGCAGCTGCCGAAGAGCTCGGGTTGTCAATAGAGCTCACATCGTCATCAGTAGCATCAATAGCCGGTTCGTGGTCTCTTGTTTCTCTCGGGGTCCTTCCACTTGCGTCCCCAATCGTCCGAGTCGTCTTCTTCTTTGCCCCGCCCCAAGTCACCGGAACTTTTCGTTGAGGCGTCTGCGGCTTTCTTGCTGCCGTAGTTCCCGACATCGAATTGGCTGTATGCTATCCCCAAGCTTTGATTGTGCCTCGAATGAACACGGAATTGTAATGATGAAAGTTTAAGCGCCAAAAAAAAGGGCTGCATCAATCTTTGCCAAAGTGCTCTCTAACGTTCTTGTTACAGGCTGACAGAATCCAGGCTTCTGGTTTCTGGATGCCGTCTCTTCCCCGTTTGAAAGCTCTCCTCAAATGTTGTTGCATTGAAACAATGACATGTCAGGTAGCAAATTATTCTCAATTGGAAATTGTCTGAAATGTACTGCAGGTGTCACAAGATCAACAGCCTTTCTCGGGCAGAGCAAATAGAGCAAGTAGATTGCTTGCTGTGCTTTCCGGAGATCCTGGCCCTGCTCCTCGAGACACAATTCCTCAGGGAGATGCTGGAGGGCCACACTCGACATAGCACAACTTGAGCCAGAACTGCAGCATTAGGTTACAAGGGGCTCACAATCAATCACCAAGCAAGCTGACACACACACACACACACACACACTCACTGAGCCTTCCGCGCAAATATCACTCACATGCCTTCTGAAACGACTTCACCTGGCAAAATGCAAATTTCATGCCAGCCCTGCCCCCCCCCCGGCTCTGTCAAAACATGCCAGGCAGACCACTTGAGCCAGAACTGCAGCATTAGGTTACAAGGGGCTCACAATCAATCACCAAGCAAGCTGACACACACACACACACACACACACACTCACTGAGCCTTCCGCGCAAATATCACTCACATGCCTTCTGAAACGACTTCACCTGGCAAAATGCAAATTTCATGCCAGCCCTGCCCCCCCCCCGGCTCTGTCAAAACATGCCAGGCAGACCTTGCCATTGATGCTACCACAATAGTTATACTACCGCAAATCATGCTACCACAATTAGCGCTACCACAATTGTTGCTACCACAATTGACAAGTTGATGCTACCAGAACTGATGCTACCAGAATTGATGCCACTGCAAAATCGAATCAACCAAGCCAAGCAATGCCATGCTGACTACCACAGTTGCTGCTACCAGAACTGATGGTATCAGAATTGATGCCACCGCAAAATCGAATCAGATGCCACCGCAACAATCGAAGCAATCAAGCCATGCAATGCCATGCTGACTACCACCATTGACATTGATTGATGCTACCAGAATTGATGCCACTGCAGCATCGAATCAACCAAGCCAAGCAATGCCATGCTGACTACCACAATTGATTGATGCTACCAGAATTGATGCCACTGCAGAATCGAATCAACCAAGCCAAGCAATGCCATGCCGACACAGTAACGGCCTCCCCAGCGTCTTTGCAAACACGAGTGTGCTCTGACAGTCATGCGGACTGGAGACTTCTTTAAATGCCACCCCCATTCGGCCAAGATGGGGTCACCCTGCTGAGTATGCGCCGTCTTTGCCCTATGCGGAGCGCTGAAATCCGATTGCCTTGCATACCGGCCCGCAAGAGGACAGGTCATGCTCGTCATCGAGTGCACCGGAATCGCTGCGCAACGCGCCGGTTACTGAAGACCTGTCAATGAGGCACAGCATAAGATGCCATGCGGGGCCATGCCGGCAAGCAGCAGTGATCGAAGTTAATATTTCGACCGTGGTGTGGGTACGTGGCATAGTATTTATTAATAGTAGCGAGGCCTTCCCTGCAATCTGTGTGCATTTCACCCCGCGGCGGACACACCACCTGGCTGGACAGGCGAGCAGCACACAGAGTAAATCCCCAGCGCCCGGCCAGCGACGCTGTCCCGCACGGATCAAGGACCCATTGCTCACGTGGTCCGAGCCCGACTGGAGCGGTCTCTAAGACCACTCTGAGCTTGGGCGTGCAGGATGGGTAGGGCGAGTCGAACCAAGCCAAGCAAGCCAAGCAAGCCAAGCAAGCCAACCAAGCAACCAAGCCAACCAAGCAGTGGCACGTGACAAAGGACCACGTTTCAGCTTCCAACACATCCGGCTTGGACAGAAGCGAACACCATCGCTCAATACATCCGGCTTGGACAAATGCAAAAATGTTTGGCAAAAAAGGGTTTCCTCACGCTGGCTTCCCAGTGTGCTTTAAAATGTTTTGGTCAACGGCCGTGCCCCCGGCACTGAAATTCCTAATAAAATACATAAATAAGCTAATACTACAACAGCTTGAAACCTTAAATCGGTATATTGAACTGCACTATTGAGGAAATTGGTTTTGGCCTTCAAACCCCCCTGATCCAGCCCCCAAGGATCCAACCCTCAAAACGAGTGTGTGGATATAAGGGGAACTCCACAAGAGGCGTGGTGTGGCAGCGTGTCGCGCGTCCTGACAGCGTTCTGCATCCGTCAAGCTAAGGGTTAACTCCACAGGAGGCGCGGTCCGGCAGCGTCCAGCGTCCCGACGGCGTTTTGAATCCGTCAAGCTAATGGGGAACTCCACAGGACGCTCACGCTGTTAATGGGGAACTCCACAGCAAGCTACGGGTGAACTCCACAGGAGGTGTTCCGGCAGCGTCCCGACGGTGTTCTGAATCCGTCAAGCTAAGGGGTAACCCCAAAGGACGCGAGGCGTGTCGCACAGTCAAGCTAAGGGGGACCTCCACAGGAGGCGTGGTGTTGCAGCGTGTCGCGCGTCCCGACGGCGTTCTGCATCCGTCAAGCTAAGGGGGAACTCCACAGGACGCTCGCGCTGTTAATGGGGAACTCCACAGAACGCGCGTCCCGAATCCGTCAAGCTAAGGGGGAATTCCACAGGCTGTTAATGGGTAACTCCACAGAAGGCGCGTGTCGCCCGAGTTCTGTCAAGCTAAGGGGGAACTCCACGGGAGGCGTGTTCCGGCAGCGTCTCGAAGGCATTCCGAATGGGGAACTCCGCCGAACGCGCGTCCCGACGGCAGATATCGCATCCCCTAAAGAAAATACCCGGAGAAGGAATCAGGGCAGCACGAGAATCCTATCACAACGATTGCACGAAAAGTAAACATTACATGGATCCCGTACTGCATCGCCGGCATGGCTGATGATACAAGGTCATGTTTGTCATGATGTTTTGTCATGATGTTTGTTTTTCTCAGGATGCGATATCTGCGTTGCGCGTGTCTGCATTCGGGCTCGTGGCCCCTATCTGGTTATTTTTCCAGCGGGTCGCAACTCCCCCCACCTCTTCTGCTTTAAAGGTTGCCACCGGACGTGTTTGCACCGTCGCCTTAGGCGTCCACGCCTTGCTGTGAAGTCTGCATCTCGTGCTTGGCTGCTGTCCTTGTTGAAGATGCCCTGGAAGGGAGCAAGCAGTTCCCCCTGCCAAGTCGTCCGTATAAGGGTGGCCATCCATGTGTCCCCCCCTACCCCCCTTTTGTGCTGCCTGTACGAGTCGTGTTGACTGGCTTTGTGTTCGATGGCTTGCTTCCACTGCTTGTGTTCACGATGCATCTGCTTTTGCACGTTTTTCCAGGCCTGGCGCCGTGCTTCGTGGCGTGGGCTGCTTGTCAATTTGGATCTGCTCTCCAGGAACTTCGCGTGCTCCTTGCGCGCCGGCTTGGTGATGGTGCTGCTGATCAGGGCAAGTTGTGTGCGCCGGTCCCCCGGTCTGCGCGGCTTGCTCATCGAGGAGAGCTTGCAGGCGCTCTGGCTTGGTGATGTGGACATGTCTTGGACCGCAGGGTGCGCTGGGTTTGGTAGGTTTGGGAGGCTCTTGGCGGAGCTGTAAGAGCACATGCTCGTGGTCTGACCTGGCCATGACGCGTGCTTGTGCTACCTCCCCGCTGACGGAAAAAAACCCTTTAATCCCCACATAGTCCAGTCTCGTAAGGGAAATGCGAGGCTGCAGACAGGTCTTGTGGCGGTAGCCTGATGTTTGCTCGTTGGATCCAGGCGCCAGTACGCTTTCCCCCTGCCTGATCTGGCTTGTGCTTGCTCCTGCTGTTGCTGTGCGCGCGGCGTTGGCTTGAAGGTCTCGTTGGCATCCATCCCCAGCACCGCCCGTTTGGCTGCTAATGCGTGGCAGGCTCCCCACTGTGCCATGAGGGTTTCAGCTTTAGCAATGGTGGCATGCTGAGAAGCCCCCACTTTGCCCCGTGGCCGTGAGAAATGAGAAAGGACTGCGGCGACCCCCCGCCCAACCTGCTATGCCTCCCCAGCGCCGAAAGAAAGGCCACCCCCTGCCCCCGCCACTCCCCGAGCACTTTCCCATGTACCAGCGTCCATGCCTTGTTGTTGGCAAAATGCCGACCTGCCTCCGTGATACGTTCCTGAAACAACACAACTGAAACTGAGGAGAGCACTTTGTTCCCCCGCAAACGTCTGCAGCAACTCAAGTGCATGAGCCGCAGAGAGGCCGCCGACGTTCCAAGTGGCGACGACCAGTGTGCGCCGCTTCGCCCCCTTCCAGGCTGCATGGTGAAACTGAGTCTCGGAAGACGATTGGTCCCCCTGCTCGCCGCTGCTTTGCGTAGGTTCCGTACCTCAGCGAAGGGCCGTCTTCAGCCCCCCCCATTCCTCCTCGATGTCCGCGCTGGGCTGGTCGAGCCTGTGGCCTTGAGGTTGATCCATCCGGCACCTGTGGTGGTTGCCGAGGCGACACCAACGGAGTCCAGCCAAACCGTCCCAGGCGCCCACCCCGTCTCAGCTTTGGCCAGCTGCGCCCCCATCGACAGGCATAGGCGTTTGCACTTACCTGTTAGCCGTACTCGTCGCCTTCGCTCTGGCGACTGCGACAGTTGAAGCCACAGGTACTTCGCCTTGCCGTCTTCTTGCAACCCATCTGGATGTTGGCCTGGCGCACGCAGCGCAAGGCTGCGGACAGCATGTTTCGCAGCTGCTGTTGATCTTCCCCGTCTTTTGCGCTGTAGGGTACAATGGCGTATCCCCGTCGTACTCCAGGAACAAAGGCTTGCTCCGTGCAGTGCGCAGGTGTCCAGTCTCAATTCTTTGACCATTTGTTTGACGTTCTTGAGGGTCTCCTCCGCTGGGGTGTCATTGATCCCCCCAACCTCCTCTACTCAGTGCTGGCTTGCGCCCCCGAAGTCTGTGTCTGCAGTACTTGACGCCCCCGTGCTTTGGATGGAGGGCTTGCAGGCGAGCATTCATCGAGTACTGGTCCCCTGGATGGTTTGTTGGTTGGTGATCACCCCCGTCTCCACTCGGTCCATGCGTTGGTTGATTTCCGCTCGCAGTGTGCTGGTGCTGCCAGTCACCTCACCGCGCACTAATTCTCGGATGGCTTCAAGATTCAAGACTGAGCTTCTCCTCTTCCGGGGCTCCCCGCTTCTTCTGCGCCGGTGGGGTGGTTGGGTCAGTGGCCATAGCATCAGCCATAAGGATAACAGGTAGTGGAGGTAGTCCCCCGATCGAGGTAGACGAACCGGCGGATCGAGGTGAGGTCGGCGAAGGCCTGTAGGCTCACCGAATGCGGTCAAGTAGCGTAGCGGGTGTCAGTCTCTTGAAAGTGCAGGCTGTAGGCCGCCGACACCGTACTGGAGCACTCCCGACTATGTCCCCCTTCAGAACCCGCGCGAGGAGGTGCGCACGCTTGCCGGATCCCCCGTCCTCGGTGATGGCGCAAGGAAGGCCCTGGCAGGAAAGGCAAGCCCCGGCCTCGCGCCTCGTCCCCAGGGTTCCGTCCAGCACTGTACTACCGCCCCAAAAGCACCGGGAAGCTCTGTTGCCTCCGTTGCGGGCGTGTGGTCTGGGAGCTACTTGTCCCCCCGTGCAGAGCCTACAACATAACTGCACGCAGAACTCAGCACTGAGGCCCCGGCACATAACAGTACTAGTCACATCACAGTAGGATTGGCTCTGGGGACTGTACTTCTAACAACAGCTTCGGTACCCCTGGCTGAAGCACCTGCACACAAGACTAAGACAAGGAAGGTTCTGTTCATACGGCATACCGGGCTGTTGTGTCATGATGGCTCCCCTCCCTAAACCCCCATAGATCACGTCTCGTCTGGATGCCAAAAGTTGCCATCATCGTCATACACCGCCGCATGCATTCTTCTCCTACGGTGGCTGGACCCCCGGCTCAGTCGTGGTTCCGGGACGTCTGGTTCGGACTCGTCGTTGGTGTCCAAGAGCGTCCCCCCGTGTCCCAAGCACTGCGAGATTTCTGCCCGCGCTTCTTCTTCCGCTTGTCTCTCGCCTTCGTCCATGGCTGCGAGAAGGTCGGCATCTGTTGGCTCCCCCTCCAGCTCATCTGGCGGCGTAGGTCCGTCTCTGTCCTCCTCTCCCCCGGACGTGGGGATGCTGCCGGACCATTGGGCTGTCCCCAGCAGCGGCTGCCATGTCGCTGTCGCGTTCATCGGCGGCTGCTCGGCTCCAGGCTGGTCCCCCCGGCTTCAGTCGACTGCGTGTCCATGTAGACGATCTGCTCGAAGGTCGCCGCCACATACGCCAACATGGCTCGGACTTCAGGTTGCCCCCTTGTGTGGAATGGAAGCACCCCCCTGATGTCCCTCAGCACTGTGCCTGCTCGTGGCGTCGGTCTTTCCTCCGCCCCCTCCGCAAAGGCGTTCACATCCGAGGCGTGCGCAAAGTTCAGAAGGTCCAGCTCTTCCAGCAAGGTGTCGGCCCCTTCCAGCAGCAAGCTGACTGTGGCCGCCCAGCTGTCGGACTGCCAATCAAAGTCCCCCTGTGCGGCCAAGGCGATGTTGATGGCGTCCGTTGCTTGCGTTAGGCCTTCAAAGCTGTCCAAGACCTGCGTCCCCCCCTGCTGCGCCGTTGCATCTTCCAGCTGGGCCCTCACGAACACCAAGTCTTTACGGGCTTCAATGAGGTCGGACATAATCTGCTGCTGGTTCGGGCCATCAGCTCCCCTATCTGCTGCCCCTTTTTCTTGAAGGCGCATTTTTGCCACCCCCGCATAGTCCAAGCGTCTTCGTTTTGGTGGCGGGGGCGCCCGGATGCATTCGTGGGTTGAGTCGCCGCCCCCTGTAGGCGTTGGTTCCTCCCCCACGGCTGCAATGGCAATCTCCACCATTTCCGCTGCTGCTATCCCCGCTTGCGGGCGGGCTGCGGTGGTTGTGAAGCCGGCGTGGTGGTGACACTGGGAGGCACTGTTGGTACGCTTGTGTCGGTTGAGGCTGCCTGGTGAGTTTGGGCGCCTCCTTGGTGTGCTGTGGCTGCTGGTGCTTGTGGAGCCGTGGGCTCGTGCGTTGGCGAGGGTGTGGGTTGTGCTGCTTGCTGTCCGTGGTCCGTCGGCACACGGTACTGGTAGCCGTGCCTTGGCTGGTGGCAGTGGTGGTATGTACGTGAGGGTGTACCCCCATTGGTTCTGCGATGGAAGCATGCTGTATTGTAGTGCGCCCCCTGCCTTCGGGTGGAGTCGCCGTGGTTGCTGCTGCCGCCCTCCTGTCTGCGAGAGCGGTGGTTGCTGAGTCCGCTTCCGTGTCCCACAAAAAACTTGTCAGGGTCGTACACTGCTGCTTGATGTCCCGACGGCTGCCGCCTGGTCTGTGGTGGAAGCCCCCCTGCTCTTCGTCCGTAGAGGCGACCGCCCATGGATCTGTGTCGGGCTCGTACGGCGGACCACATCCCCAGATATCCCCAGGGTTCGGTTGGCGTTCTGCCCGGCTGCAGCCCTCTGGTGTAGCTCAAAGTCGTTGCCTCCAGTCCCCGATCATTGCCGGGAGAGCGACCGGTGCGTTCGGACGTGGAGGCACGGGCCGTGGTGCCGGGACGGTGGCATATGAGGGGTGGGCCGTCGCTGGGGCTCACTGGGTGGCCGTTGTTGCTTGCGCCGGCTGTGTTGTTGGCCCTGGCCACTGGATGGCTGCTGTCTCGACGGCTGGGTGGTCGGTGTTGCCGTCGCTGCTGCGTGGGTGGGGCTCGTTTGTTCCGTCCACGGTGCTGTTTGTTCCCACGGGTTTGTGCCTCTGTCCGTGGTGCTTGGCGCTGTCGTGGCGCCGTGTGCCGTGGTGGCGGCCCCCCTGGGCTTAACAGGCCCTCGGCCGTGCCAGAAGAGGAGGAAAACAAGTACGTACAAGTGTGTGAGCTGCATGTTTGCAGCTCGGGTTCGTGCGTCGTGGAACTTCAAAGCACTGAACGCTGCAGGCAAGTGTGCGCTCAGACATGCTTGGCAGCTGCATGCGACAAGCAAACGGCTGCGCAACAGCAACTGCAATATGAATGTGCTCTCTCCCCTGTTCTCCAGCTGGTGGTTGCGTGGCATGCGCTGTGCTGTCGACTAGTCTGTCTCATTCGTCAGCTGCTGCCTTCTGCTTCCCCCTCTGGTGTTGGGTGTGAGGTTAGTAAGGCTGCTCTGTTGCCCCGAAGTCCAGGGCACGTCAAAGGCTGCGATAAACTCCCCTGACAGCGAACTCCACACCTTGAAGTCCCCCGCAACCCTTTGCCAAGTCTCCCCCGCCACTTTGGCGATCTGCCGCTCTGGGTCCACATGGGCATTGAACCGGCCTTTGTGCCAGTATTGCCTCTCTCGTTTGGATTTGCGCACCTCTGCTCCCCACCACTCTAAATTCTTCCACGTAAGCATGGGCCTTCCCCCCAGTTCAGCTCGGGCCATGTGGCCCCAAATGTCCCACACTCGCTCTAGGACGAACGTGCTCCAGCGTAGCACTTGTGACTTGTGTAGTGCCACCCCTTGCCCCCCGGAGCGTGCGCACATTCCACTCCTCCCACCAGGACTCCCCCGGTCTCCGCCCTGGGTGCATCATTCTCCTCACCTGTCCCAACTGAACGCTGTTGGACGCCCGTAGCAGCACATCTGTAACTGGCCAAGCTTCGCACCCCCATGTGGCTGCCCCCCGAACCAATGTCTGGTGAAGCTTGATCCTGCTGTCCAGCGAGGTCGGTGCGCAAAGCAGCTTGGCATGCTTGTGAAAGGCGCGCCTGGCACGATGCTGCATCTCCGATACTGCGGCCGCAACTTCTTCCCCGAACGTGATGGGAGCTCCAATGGGGTGAGGGATCAAAAAAATTAAATAAGGATCAAAAAAAATTAAATGGAAAGATCAAAAAAAAATAAAATAAGGATCAAAAAAAATTAAATCACTCAAAATACAGCAATTCCTGGGGCAGAGGCATCAAAAAAAATTAAAATAAGGATCAACAAAATTTAAATCACTTAAAATACAGCAATTCCTGAATTTTTCCAAGGGAAAACACTGTTTTCCTAGGGATTTTCTTTTGTTTCCTTAGGATCTGTTTGGTTTTTCCTCTGGAAAACACGATATTCCTGCGGATTCCGTTGTATTTCCCTCAGTTTTCCTTGATTTTTCGTAGGAAAAAGCTTATTTTCCTATTACCTATGGCGTTCGGTTCATTTCTTCAGGTTTTCAGAAGGACAACATATGGTTGTTCCTCGGGAAAATCAAATTGTCCTTACAATTTCACATTTAGGACGGATTTCCTGTTGTAGATGTTGCTGGTATTCCGCTTCATCATCTATCTTAAACACGCCCCTCATTTGGCGATTCTGGTTCAGCATGTATCTACAAGGGCGGAGACGCCCTCATTTGCTGGGTTTCAAAAAAAGGCATATGCTTCAAAGCAACCCTGCACGGCTTAAAACAGCGGGGGGGGTTGGGGGGGGGGCGCAGCCCCCCCCATTTGCAGAGACAACGTTCACATGATGGGCTTCGAGAACACTCTTTGAATCAAGCTTGCACGTCTCGAAAAGCGCGGCGGCGGGTGTTTTGTTCTTCCGTGCCTGTTCGTGTCTCTTCTTCCGTTAGCATTCTAACCTAATATATACATAACATAGTAAACCAGAAGAACGACATAAGATTGTTCGACAACACAAAAATGGTGTGACATTTTCTGACATGACTGAACCTTGCTTCTTATAGCATATAATGGCATACTAAAAATACAACAATACAATATAACAGAAGATGACATAGAACAAAACAACATCTTAGTTTATAGTGTAGTACATTGTAACATAGTACAATACAGTGTGTATATTTACAACATAATATGTAGTATATTTTATAACATTAGGTTACATTATGTTATATCATGTTACGGTACATTACGATATTATGGTAAATTCGATTGGGCTATGTAGTATCCTGTTGCTTGTATCTTTGTTTCTGCGATTATTTCATATTATTTCTCTTTCGTCTTCTCCAACTTTGCTTTTTTAGTATGGACTTCTTTCTTTCTTTCGCTCGTTCATTTCTTTTCTTTCTTTCTGTTGTTCTTTCTTTGTTCATCTCATACTCCCTTCCTTTCTTTCTTGCTTTCTTTCTGGTTTGATTTATTTCGTTCTTTCTTTGGTTCGTTCTTTCGTTCGTTCTTGGTTTCGTTCTTTCTTTCGTTCTTTCTTTCGTTCTTTCGTTGTCTCTCTGGTTCTATCTTTCTTTCTTTCTGTTTTCCTTTCTTTCGTCCTCTTTAGATACAGCAATTTTTGTATTTTTCCCAGGGGAAACACTGTGTTCATACGGATTCGTTTTCATTTCCTGCGGATTTGCTTGGTTTTTGCTCGGGAAAACACGATTTTCCTACGGATTCCGTGGTATTTCCTTAAGTTTCTTTCTTTAGTTCTTGCTTTCGTTCTTCCTCTTGTTTTTGCTTTCGTTCTTTCGTTCTCTCCCTCGTTCTTTCTTTCTTTCTTTCTGTCTTTCTTTCTTGCTTTTTAGATACAACAATTCTTGAATTTTTCCAAGGGATAACACTGCTTTCCTAGGGATTTTCTTTCGTTTCCTAAGGATTTGCTTGGTTTTTCCTGTGGAAAACACGATTTTCCTACGGATTCCGTTGTATTTCTCTAAGTTTTCCTTGGTTTTTCCTAGGAAAAAGCCTATTTCCTATTACCTACGGCGTTCGTGTCATTTCTTCAGGTTTTCCGAAGGAAAACATACGTTACCTAGCTTATTCCTCGGGAAAATCAAATTTTCCTTACAATTTCGCATTTAGGACGGATTTCGTGGTGTAGTTGTTGCTAGTAGTGTTGTTGTTGGCGTTGTGGTTGTAGGTGTAGTATGTTGTAGTTTTTATAGCTTTCTTTATTTACTTAGTTCTATATTTTTGTTTTCTTTCTTTACTTATAGCTTTCTTTATTTACTTATTTCTCTATTTATTGCATGGCTCTCTTTCTTTGTTTATTTCTTTGAAGCGATAGTCTTACGTATCGTTCTTCTTTATTTTCAGCGTCTTTCTTGTTCCTTTAACTATGTCTGTTTTTCTTTATTAATTTATGGCCTTCCGTCTTTCTTTATTTCTCTGTTTTTGTTCTTTGGTTATTTCTTCATTGCTTGTTTTGTTTTTGTTTCTAACTCTCTTTGGTTCTTTCCTTGTGTGTTCTTTTTCTTTCCTTATAGCTTTCTTTATTTACTTAGTTATCTATTTTGTTTTCTTTCTTTACTTCTAGCGTTCTTTATTTACTTATTTCTCTATTTCTTGCATGGCTTTCTTTCTTTCTTTCTTTCTTTATTTCTTTCGTTGTTTCTTTATTTCTTTATTTCGTTCTTTCTTTCGTTCTTTCTTTCTTTCTTCCTTGCTTTCTTTCTTCCTTCCTTTCTTTCTTTCTTTCTTTCTTTCCTTCTCTCTCTCTCTCTGTCTTTCTTTCCTTCCTTTTTCCCCTTCCTGTCGCGGATACCCGTTTAGTTTTTTTTTGATCCTTATTTAAGTTTTTTTTGATCCTTATTTAATTTTTTTTGATCCTTATTTAAATTCTTTTTTAACCCCTATCCCCTCCAATGCTGTGACCACCGTGCCAAAGGGTTTGCAGGCCACCTCCTCCCCCCCGATGAAGAAGCTTCCCCCGCCGCTTTTCAAGCTGAATATGATAGCCGTTTTGGCCGGGTTGATGGTCAGGCCGTGCTTGCGGAGCTGTCGCTCCAATTCGGCAAGAGACGCTTGCAGGTGGGTTCGGTCATGACTCCATAGGTAGGTGTCATCCATGTATGCCCCCCCTGATTGTGGTGGCGGTGGTCCCTCCGCTAGCGGCAGCAACCGCTGGGTTGTTTGGAGTGCCCCCTCGAGGTCGTCAGCAACCACTCTCCCAAAGAGCACAGGACTGTCAGGAGAGCCCTGTCGGACCCCGTTGGTCTGGGGAATGTGCGTAAGCGTGTCGGCCATAGCAACCCGAACTTCTCTGGCTTCAAGAAGGCCAAGCCACGCTTTAGCCTCCCATGGCATCCCATCGGCACTGCCCCCCCCCCAGATGCGCGCAACCCCCCTACCTTGGACGCAACCATATCCCCCATGGATTCCTGCCAAACGCTATCAAAAGCCTTTCTGACGTCCAGCTTCACAATCCATGTAAGAATCCCCCAGTCCTTTGCGTGTCGTATGACGCGCTTGAGAACGACAAGGAGTTCGGGAGCTTGCTTGCCTCTGCACCCCCACTGAAGTGGTGCCCCGTCTTGGATGCGGAGCAAAAGTAGTTGCGAAAACCACTTAAGAATCGAGGAGCTCAACGTGATAGGGCGTGTGTCCCCCCAGGATTCGGGATCGGAAATGGTTTTCGGCAGCAGCACCGTGACCCCCCGCAGAACTTCCTCGGGGATGGTCCCCTTATACAGGAAGTCGTTCATCATGTGCAAGATGCGCCCCTCCCACCGGGGTTCCTGCATGAGAAGTCATAGCAACTCATGTGTAATTGCATCTGCCCCCGCCGCCTTCCCCCTCTGCCATGTGCGAGTGGCCAATTGGAGGTCCCACGTTGTGAAAGGCCGCCAAGGCGTGTGCTTGCAAAGCGCTGTCAGGGCTCGCCTGGTGTCCGCAATGTTGCGGGCTGTGCGCTCGGCCGGTGCTTTGGCAAAGATCCCCCGAAAGTGTGCCACCATCTTGTCTTGCCACCCTCAGCATCCACTAGTTTGTGGTGCCACCCCACCCTGGAATGGTACTGGTCTAGGGTGCGCTTGGCCCGCCAGTTCGCTTGGCTAGCCTTATCGACCAGCTGTTTGTGCCATGCTCGGACCTCTTGCTGTCTGAGGCGAGTCACACGTTTCCAGGCTTCGCGGGCCTGGTGTGGGGGGCCCCCCTTGCCTGTCTGCGTAGTAGCATGCGCAGTGCTGGGCTCTCCTCATAGCGTTCGGTGTCGCGCCCCGGCCTGGTGAGCTGCTGCGCAAGGGTTGCGATGGCATAGTGCGTGTCAGTCTGCGTCGGCTGTACCCGAGTTGCTTGTTGCGGGCCCACTCCTCGAAGGTACCTGCGCGCACCCCACGTGGGCCGGGGTTTGGGTGGTGGCGCCCCTCTGACAACGTGGGCGCGCAATGTGGCGGCTGCCCTCCTTAACCCCCCCGTGTGTGCTGCGCAGCCCCCGTGTGGCCACATAGTCCAACCTGCTGGGATGGAACCTGGTGTTGTATGGATGGTAGGTGTGAGTAGCGAGGGCCTGTGGCGGCGTGCTAAGCCCGCTGTATGCAAGTGCAGATAGCACCACTTCTCCCCTGCCCGAGTGCCCCCTCCATCCCTGCTCATCTGGGTCTGTAAAGGTCTCATTGGCATCCATACCCAAGACCACCCTGGCTTTGCAAAGTGTCCCCTTCCATGCTCCAAGGATGCTCTCTGTTTGCGCAATGGTAGCATGGTGTGGTATGTGCCCCGACAGGAAACGAACCCCCCTCCGGCCGTCTTGGCCCGTAAGAGTGGTGGCAATGCCCGATGGCAATAGCTTTGTGTTGCTGTGCTTGTTGTGGGCCCCCAAGTACGCGACCCCCGTGCCCCTCCAATCTCCTTGGTTCTTGCCATAAACAATGACCCAACCGTTGTACTCATGAAACGAAATGCCAACACCAGTGATAACTTCTTGCAGGAGCAGCACCTGCAGAGCGTCAAGGTCTGGGTCCCCCGCGAAGTGTGGGTGAGCTCCAGCACGTGTTGCGCCGTAAGCCCCCCAACGTTCCAGGAAGCCACTCTCAGTGCATCGGAGGCCTTCCCGCTTTCTGTGCGGTGAAACTGTCCCCCATGGCGGTCCATAGGTCATGCGAGCTCCGCTTTGCGGCCACGCGGCTTGAACCACCCGCAGCGGACGCCTCATCGCCTTCGCTAAAGCAGTGATGTCGGCCCATGCGACGGTCCCCCTCCGATTCGAAAGGTCTGGACTTGATCGGGAGGATCGCGTATCCCCTGCGCAGTCCAGGGACAAAGAGGTCGTCGGCTTCCAGCTGGACGTCCAGACGACGCAAAATATCCTTAGCAGCCTGAAGGGTATCCTCGGCCGCCTGATCTGGGTGCCATCCCCGGAGGATAAGTGCGGGCGGCTTGTTCCCCCCTCCATCGGTGTCCGCTGTGCTCCCCCGCGCAGAAGACCATTGAGGGCGGTGCTCCAACGCTTCCAGTCGTTTCTCAAAGGTCTGTTGTGCATCGCGAAGGTCCCCCAGCGCCTTTGCCTGATTGTCGTAGTTGTCTGTGACCTTGTTGAGCATGACCATTGTCCTTTCCATTTGGACTGTAACCCCCTTCTCCACGTCATCAACTCGTCCGCGCATGGCACGCACATCCCCCTGGACTCGCTCCAGGCTGTCAGAGAGATGGTTGCGATCAATTGCGCGCTCTTGCGCCAAGACCTCCTTGAGCATCGCCAGTGTAAGGGGCTGCTCCACGACTCGGCCTCTTTTCTGGGGGGAACCTCCGTCTGGTTCAGCAGGCCCTCCCCCTGCCGCGTGGCTGGCTGCTTCCACCTCGGTCATGGGCAGATCGTCCCCCTGCGCTGCTCCGGTGGCCATGGTAGTTTGCGTTCACAGTGGCGCTGCCGTAGTATCACGATCACTCCCCCGGTATACTTTACGCCCCGAGGTTCTTGCGGAGTTCCCCCCCCGGCAGGTATGCAGTGAGTAGGGTCGCTATCACGATGTGGTAGCGGTTGTCAAACGCCCCCGCACGCCTGGGCAGCGGTCGTACTCGGGCTCCGTCCTTTACGAAGTCCCGCGGCAGAACCCCCGGCTCGAGGTCGCGTAGACACTTGCCGGTGAGCTCGATGGCACGGCTGGACACAAAGGAAGACAAGGAGCCCTCTGTGCCAACCCCTGTTGTCTGCACGCTCCCTCAGTCGTCGGTTGAGGCCCACACTGACTTTCTCACTCGGGGCTCGGGCCTTGAACCGCTCACGGCTTGAGCCAAAATGACTCTCTCTCTCTCTCTCTCTCTCTTGGGCTTGAGGGCGCGATCAACGCCCTCGGGCATCTTGCCCCCCCGCCGTGTTAGCAGGAGTGAGGGGTGACGAAAGGTCGAAAAACATAGTTTATGGCTAGAGCCTTCAAGTGTACGATAGAAACAACCATGTTTCATCGACCTCCTGCGACACATGCATATCGTATTTCCCCTATTCGCGATGCAGATCTCACTAAGAATATGTCAAAACACATTGGCATCGGTTTGGAGAATGTACGACTTCATTTTGCATGCCCTACCCCCGGCTCATACATCTAGCCTGACTGTTGGTGCATGGCAAGAAAAACAAGGTCGAGGCACTTTCTGCACATGGCCTATCGTGTGCTCACGATGTGCCCGTCTGGCTTTGTCGAACTGTCTTGTTTCAAAAGGCAACTATATAGAATCAACTTAGTACGTGTCATCATAGCTCGAGTTGATTGATAGCGAGTGTTCGCTTTGCAAGCTTCAGGGCGTCACGCTCTCTCTCTCTCTCTCTCTCTCTCTCATTGGCCCAAGGTTCGTTCTATGAAAGCTTACATATCTGCACATGCTGCATGACTGTGCCTTTTTGGGAAAAGGTGTCCACCACGGGTTTTCCAGA